GTTAATTATTATAAGGTTATTTTAATTTTTAAATCTATCAACAAGCAATGTTAATAATATATAAACTTTAACGAACCATCTGCAGCTATTATAATTTGTATATTTTTTAACTTCTCGCATAATGCCTCAGACAATAATTCAGGTTCATTGAAGTTCAACGGCATGAMTGTCGTTCGACTGACGATTAAATCTTGATTTAAGTTTATGTTTTTTTCAATCGTTGACAATATTTCTTTGTTGTTGATATCTAAAATAATTCGATAAAATTACAAAAATTTAGCTATAGATTTATTTACTAACGCGAGAGCAGTATAGAATGTGCAATGCCAATGTACATATATACTTATGATGTATACATTTAAAATACATTACATTAAATTACATACAACAAAATAAAATTATACAACARCTATTAAAAGAAAATTCAAATATTAATTTAGTAGAATTAACAATATTTTTAAATACGATGATAATGACTATAAATGTATTTAGGTATGTTCACCAATATGTGAACAATTAATAATTGTTATTTAAAATTCATACATAAACGTAGAAGTTTAGATTGACAATCGTAATTGAAGTAAAAATTACAATTTGTAATTTACAAATCCGAAGCATTTGACTCCTATGTTCGACAAACTATGAGATTATGTGTAGAATAACTCATAAAATGTAATCTTATRGATCTRGTGTAAAAAGTTGGAACCAACCAACCTATTTCTTCTAAGATTTTAAGACGATTAATATCGCCATTCAAARTTTAAAAAATTAAAGTCTCATATGATTAAGCATTAAACTTACTTTTGGAGGAAAGTGAGGTTATACCTAACTTCAGAGCAACTTCCTTCTAAATTTTTTATTTTTATTTTACCTAGCTATATAGGTTTAAATGTAATATTCCTGAACCTACTTAATAAATTACATTGTTTTAATAAATCATAATAATTTATCATCAATAGTATAATAACAACAWTTACCTGTAAAAATGATTTCTTTGCAACACATAGCAGCTACAATACCAGTCAATCCTACTCCAGAGCCGAGTTCCAATACAATTTGATCATTGGTGAAAATATCTCTGTTTTCCAAGATAAAGTCACCCATTAATAACGCGCTTCGCCATACTTGCATGCCGACCATATTTAACGAAGTTCGATTTATGTGTTCTATAGTACAATATGTCAAAGTCAAACGTATAATTTGGGTGTTATTATATA